TGTTGTAAGTATTCACACTTAAAGACACTGAACTAGATAAAGCAAACATCAGTAGAAAACAGATCATTGATCTAAGCTTGAAATTTACAGTTGCCTAGTAATTGTAATCAAAGATTATAGATTCTTTAAACAGCTGGTACTATGAGTTTTTCATAGTGTGCTATTGTTATTTGGTAACTGTGCTTTAAAAAATCTGGTTAACTATATAACAAAATGAAAAACCTGTCTTAGCTTTCCTTCTGAGAAGAGCAGAATGCCTTGCTTGAGCAAGTGTTTGATCCCCTAAATTCCTGGGGTCATAATATACATATGACCAGAGGGCCACCCCCCCATACTATCAGTCACACTAGACTAGAACAGGGGACTCCAAGGTCGTAAGTGGCTAATGGCTAAAGGGGGCTGCAACAAGTTAAAAGGGGAAAGAAGGAAGAGAGATGGAGCGGAAGAATTAAAAAGGAAAGAGGATGCAGGCAGGCAAGCAGGCATGCAAATGGATTTTCACTGGGCTCTCTTCTTCCCAGTCAGGAAGAAGTACAACATTTCCAGAAAAGATTCCAAGTCCTGCAGGGACTTTGATTTATGAAGATGTACCCCCTTCTTTCTGTAAAGCTCTCTGCAGAAAGTGCTGACTGGCTGCAGCGAAGAATTTCTCATCAATGCTCTTTGATTGTATTTTGCAAACAAAATGCCTGTTGCTTGGTAACATTTCACTTGAGCCTGACCTTCCCCAAAAGTTATTGCTATCAGATTCGATTTACACTGTCTTCCTGTGATTACTGTAATCTTTTAAACCCAGGAGTTCATCCATCAGGGAAGCGAAAAGTTGGTTGTAAGTGGAGATCACTGCCATTCTCCAGATTTATAACATGGGGAGCCAGTTGGGCTGGAGGTTCTCTTGGAGGCAGTGAGTAGGCTCTGGTTCCCAAATGAGTGTTCTCATTTTTCCTGTAACCAGGTCTAACAGCACTGTGATGGCCCTCTGGGTAAGCAGGGAGGGGGCTGAGGCCCAAGGGGCTGAGAAGAAAGGGCTCCTAGACACCTGCTTTAGTCCTGACTAGCCAGGTGAGTGGGTGTGGCTGGAGCAAGCAGTAACCTTCTAGTGTCACTACAGAGAAGCCACAGGCCCATGCCACCATGGGCCTTTCCTGAGTTCCCTGACACTCCATCCTGTAAAAGACCCACAGAGAGGTTGGAACCCTGTCCTGGGTCAGCAGCTCAACCACACTGTATCTAGCCCATCCAGCAATTCTTACAAAGCTGGGACTGGACTCTCTATCCACTAAAGCCAGTTCTGAAGGAGGGATTCAGAGGGACAGCCATGCTAATCTGGTATTTTATTTGTTTTTTGTTGTTGTTTTGTTTTTAAGTCCCTTGCCTTAAATCCAGCCACCTTAAAACCAGACTAGCTTTTCAAGTCAGGGACACTTTCCAGATGACTTTTAATTGTGCCTTACTCTGGATCCACTGTCAAAGAGGTTTCTCTGCCTGGCTTTGATGAGCTCTACTCTAATACCCAAGGCTAAGCACTTCCCTTAGGGAAAAAATAGAATTAAAAATAAGGAAGCAGACTGGGCAGTCCAATTGAAGCTGGAGCTGAAAAGCGCAAAGCAAACATAAAGGTGCGCCGGGAAGGACGTAAAATTTAAAAAGTCAGTTTTCCAGACTCTCCCCCTCTTCTTCTAGCTGCCTTGTTTTCTTCTTTCAGAAGAAATACAATAGCTCATATTTTCCTATTCGATCCTCCTCTTCTATTCCTAACTAAATGATTTGTATTAGCTTCAAAAACATTTGAAAGAATGTGTATACATATTTAATTTGATGGCAGACATATACTTTGAAAGACTCTACAGATCTTTCCTTTCCAGGCACCATGGCCTGTGGCCACCCAGGACCCTCTTCTAGAGGAAAGGTCTCCGACAGGGAAGGCAAGCACAACACAGGAATACCACAGACAGCTTCTCACCTTGGCCGTGACCCTTAACTTCCCTCATCTCCAGAGCCCAGGATCCTGAAAGGCTGGCTTGGCTACTTAAGGCTGCTGACTCAGACACACAGACAGCTGAAAGAAAGGCTTCCTACAGTATTTTCATCAGGGGAAGGGGTGGAGGTGATATAAAGGGAATTTAGGAGCAGAATACATGAGTTCTGTAGCATCTATAGAGAAGGTTAACCTAGAATTTGGGGCTTAATCAAAATCTAATTAATTCCAAGTCAGTCATAGGTGGCAATCGACAAGGAGGAAGCTATAGCAAAACAAAAAAACAAAAACAAACAAACAAAAAAAAAAACCCAGGATATCGCAATCCATAGCTAGAAAAATTAGTAGAACCTCTTTAAAATCACATGGGAAGCGAGCTCAAACATGTTAGGCCATTAGATAAAATAACACCGATTCCTTTAAGGCATCTGAAGGAAAATTTAGAAAAGACTTCTTTCAATTATAAAACCGAGTTTTGGTGTTAACATGTTCCTCCCTGAACCCGGTGCATTTTCTTCCGGCATGCTTAGCCAACATCTTTCTAAGGCATATGCTTTTCTTAAAGATTTCCAGAGAAGAAATAGACTCCACATGCATTTGTATTCAAGAAAAACCTGCCCCGTAGCGATGTAGGCGAGGCTCTCTATCCTGTAAACAGTCTGACCCGATTTTTAAAATCAAAGTTCACAAAGAAATAGATTTGCATACTTTGCTGGCATTTGCTGAGAGTTTACATGTGGCCCTTCCATTCGAATAAAGCTTCACTTCTTTCTCCAGCAATGGGTTACCAATCCAGGAGTATCTAATATGCTGCTAAATATGGATGGCATGCCACATAAAAGGCATTATATGAGTAACTGCAAAAAATACGTAGCAACATAGCAACAGGAAGTATCAACCAGAGATTTTAACTTGACTGCCCCCTCCCAACAGACTTCCTTTTTACGTGCATTGCATAGAACCAATCCACTTACCTGTTTGTGTTTCTAGTGAAAAATAATTCAGTTCTTTTCATATACCTCCCCCAAATCAACTGATTTTTTTTCTTGAAAGAACAGAAGGGGGGGGTCAAACTAATTGATAAAAGAAAACAAAATTGCATAAATAAATGCACAAGATATGTGATGTGACTGGCTGGAAACTAAGCGCCCAGTCCCTAACAGCTTAGCCTCCCAAAGCCATTCTTCTGACCTGTCTTTGCAATGACTTGTTTTCAATGTGGAGGGCTTGGGCTATCCCTGAATATTTGGTGAAAATAGAGGGAGAGAAAGCAAGCACCTAGCCTGGTTGGTTCCACTGAAATTCTTTGCCCTTTTTCATTCTCCCAAAGACTGTGCCCTGCTGCTGTTGCTGCAGCCTCAACTGGACCTTCCTCTCTGCCCTCACCCATCCCCTTCCTGGGGTTGTACGGGGTTTCATGACTCTTCATAAATTTTGGCTGTCTCAGAACAATCTAAAGACCACAAAATTTGAAAGGAATGACTCCCTCCTGGACAAAGACCACAGAAGCCAAGGTTGTATTAGAGCAGTGCTTCAAGGCACATAGGATCTATAAAATGTCTCTTGGTATTAACTCAGCCGCTTCCTCCAGTCCAGGGAGAGGACAGGAGCCAGGGAAACTGGATATGAGAAAATTAGGAAGACAGTACCATGGAATCACTTAAAGCGCTCAGACCAAACTGTCCGAGGAAAGAAGACAAAACCAGAAACCCCTCCTTCTTCCAGAGGCTCTAGATTCTCTGTGGCAAATCTACAAATATAGAGACGAGAGACAAAAGAGAGATTGGAGGACATTTCAGAGAAACACTTTTATGTTCATCTGAGTTAAGTACCCACAAAACTTACATTCAGCAAACTCTTCAAGCCCACCTATCACATAAACTGTTTTCTGAGCTTCAGGCCTAGTGAAACATAACTGAGCCACAGGGCAGACCTGATCTGCCAGGAGTACGGACCTCCGTGTGCTGAGGGAGTATGGGCAGCAGCTCTAACCTCAGTTCTACCTACTGGAGAAACTCTGGGCCTTCAATTTCTAATTCCAGCATACCCAGTTCCCTGAGGAGATGGGCTTTTCCCCTATGTACATTTACCCAGAGAAGGGAAACACCAAACATGTGTCCAAGAATTTCTAAGGCATTTGGCCAGGAGGGAGGCCAGAGTGGAGGAAGAGGCTTAACTGGGGACAGCCAGACTCAGGAAGGAGCCAAAATGAGAGAACTAGACGGAAACGGAGGGGTCTGTCCAAGCCCCGGGCTCAACAGGGAGAAGAAAGAGAGGGGAGACCAGTGGGAAGCAGAGGTAAGAAAGCCATTGCTTCCAGACCATGTCCAAGCCTGCCTAAAACTGCAAAGTGCTGTTTTGTTTTGAATTTCTTCAAACCATAGCAGCCTGGGAACGGATATTTAAGGATCAAAGAGGTGGTTCTGCAAAATGTTAACTAGGTGTCCCGGATTCTGGGTCTCACTTTAAAGCTTCTCAGAACTTGTTTGTTTTTCCTAAAGGTCCTAAATGGCTTTCTTTTAACCAAAAGTCTGTAGGCCACCAAGTTGAACTAAAAAGGTTACCGGTTCCTTTAAAGTTGGGGATAACGCCTCTTAACCCCTGTTTCCCCAGGCCAAGCCGAGAATCACCCTGAATCAGTTCCTAATCTGCACCTACGTAGTCCTACCTTCCCAAATAATGAGGTCCTCTAAAACAGGTAACCGGAAAAACCCCATCCTCACAGTGATAAATTTAAAGTTGGTCCTCCCCAAACCTTTTATCCGCAGAATTTGACGTGGGGTTGGCGGAAGCACACCTGGAAACTCCACGCTCAGTCCCGCTGTTTACTTGCCTAGACCCTGGCTTCCACCCGCACAGGGCTCAGACCCACTTTTCCAGGGAGAGTAATAACTAATCTGATGGGGAAGTAGGCCTAGCCAAACTAAGTTCTCCAAAACTTGCCTCGGGTCGTCTCTCCAGCAGAACCTCATTGGAGGTTCCCACGTTCTGGGCCGAGCTCCGCCACCACAGCCGCTCTTACCTGGCTTGGCTAGCTGCGTCTGCAGTGTCCCGGTCTGGGGCTCAGTTGCCCAGCGCAGCGCGGCGGCCGTGGCCAACTCGGCGGCGGGGCGCGGCGGCGGCTGAGACGGCTGCGAGGCTGGCGACGGCTGGGGGGTGGCAGCGGTGTCCCCAGATGGCGGGGGCCCGGGCAGAGCGCGCAGGGAGTCGGGGATGAGGCTCTCCAGGCTCTCGTTGGCCTGCTGCCGGCGCAGCGCCACCTGCGCCGCCATGACCCTCTGGCGCTCGATGATCAGGATGCATTTCTCGCAGGTGCAGTCCTTGAAGCGACAGTAGCGCTTGTGGCCCTTGAGCCAGGACAGCACGCCGTGGTTTCGGCAGCGCGCGCACTTGGGCGTGCGCTGGAGGGGCGCCCGTGGCGGCTGCGACACCGGGCCGCCCATGTACAGGTAGGGGGAGCCGTAGCCGTTCATGCCCCGGGCTCCGGGGAGAGGAGGTGGGCTGGCAACACAGGCAGGCCAGCCGGCTCTGAACCACCTAGCCTGGAGACCTGCTCCGGGGCGGCCTCGCGGTGGCCCAGCCACTGGTCCCCGACCTCCAGCGCTTCGTGCGGTCTGTGCAGCCGCAGGCTCTCGGGCTCCGGAGGCGCTTACGCCCTTGGGCCTCTTGGCGGGTCCCAGCCAGTTCCCACGCGGGCCTCTACCTGCTGCTCCCGACAGCGCTCAGCTCCAACGCCTGGTCCTCCACTCCCGCCGCTGCAAGGAGCGGAGGAGAGCTCGGATTAAGGTCTGAGCTAGCCCGTCTGCAGTTCCCTTCCTCGCTGGCTGGCCCCAGCACCTCCTCCACCGCCCTCCCCCGAGTCCCTCCTCCCACTCACTGCCACCCCCACCCTCGGGGTCCCTGTCTCCCGGCATTCCCCACCCACGCTTTCCTCCTTCTGGCACCCTTCGGGTCCCTGCGCGTCACCTTCCTCGCCACCTGCAGCCAGGCCACTCTCACGGGGGCGCTCACGGCCCCCTCCTTCCAGCCGTCCCGCAGCGGGAGGGACTGAGCGGCTCGGGGACACGGGGGAAGGGGGAGGATCATTGGGAGGAGGGGTGCCTGCAGGGGAGAGCCGACGCTGCTCCCTACCCTTGTGGCTCCAGGCCTGGAATGGAGGCACCGAGCCCCACACTGCTTCCATTCCGACCTTTGGCCTTCGGCTGGGTGAAGAAGCGAGCTGGCGAGAGGTGCCGGGAGCACCGCGGATACGCCGCGGGTCAAGCAGTTTCAAGTACAGACCAGCCGCCACCTGGCGAGTGTTGTCAGCGGTGAGGGGGTGGGTGCTGATTCCGTAATTTGGGGCTCTTTTCTTTATTTCCCTTTGCCATCTATTTTCTCTCTTTAGTTGCTGCAGAAGAAAATGAGTGTTTTTTTTAAACATGGTAACTTCCTGGAAGACAAGTCGTTTTGCAGGGTAATTCTATTTTTCTACCGTCCTCCCTCTGTATTTAAAATAAATAATCTCGGCCTTGAAAGGCCAGGGAACTGCTCTCTCGGATGTTTTGCTTAAGCACTGTCTAAACTTCCAAAGAAAGAAGGCAGAAGCCAAGTTAGTGGTATGCTTTCCCGCAGCAGTCTTTGAATCCTCGGTGGATGTTCCGCCTTGCCCAGTCAAATCCCTACAGACGCTGTGATTTACTTTAGGATGAGGAATGGAGCCACCCCCAGGGAATAACCCCACTCGGAAATATCTTTGAGTGAGAATGGAAAGGCTCTTGTACAAGACGACCGCATGACACTTTCTTTTTTCTTGACAGCATAAACTTTATTCATATTATATGCGTGTTTCCAGTTTCCTACTGAGTATCGGTTTGCCCCAACCCAGGCTACCACTACTTACGCTTAGGGAAGGCCACCCGCTCCTATCCCGCCAAAGAAACAACCAAAATCAGAATCTAAGATAGGCGCAGGGCCCCTTAAAGGCTCCGTGCGAAGGGGATGCGGCTCCTGAGAAAGAGCGTGCACTAAGTTCCTCTCCTCGCGGTGTGGACGAACCAAACGATAGCTCTATACAGGAGTCTGCTGCAGTGCATAGCCCTGTACATGAGTCTGCTGCAGTGCCTGATTCCGACTGCACCGAGGCCCCAGTTCGCCCCTTTGCCCTGCGCTACCAAGCCGCCAGCGAGAATTCTTCTGCGTTCGCTAGGAAATCTAGTACAGCACCTCCGCGAGTTCAAGCTGCTAGCGCTCTGCCTGGAAGAGTGATTTGGAAAGGGGAGAGAACTTTGAAAGTGGAATCTAGTTGTGTGCCTTTTTTCCCTTGGAACCCCTGAGCACGCGGGTCTCAGTCGTGTCCAGAAGTTGGTAGTTGTCGGGGACTGACCCAATGGGGCTAGAAAAGGAAGCCCTTGCACAGGGAGACTGCCCCAAAGTCCCAGGAGGCAGAGACCCCAAGGCCTTGCCCTTTTCCCCCAGCCCCTTAATCCTTTCTCCCCATCCCTCGCCAGTAAAACAAGCCCCACAACACTACAACTGGAAATAATTTCACAAGTTGTGGGGACGGGAGACAGAGGTCACCCTTGGCCTTTGGCCCAGAGACAGAAAGATGGGAGCTAACTAGAGTCACTACCTTGAGATGTAGGAGAACGATGATGGGTAACGTTAAGTCTGGGAGTTTCGCACTGAAATCTCGGGGCCTCTTGGAAACAGGAGGACCAAGGTCTTTTATCAAAGTCGGATTTCTCCGGAATGATCAGTGAAACAGATAAGAGTCAGGAAACTTCTCTTAGAAGGACAGCCACAGAACTGTGCACCAGGTTTAGGGGTTATATTTTTATTCTCAAGGCAATTCCCTTTCCTTCCTGGGTCACCTAGCCACCCTATCCCGATGCCACTCACACACTCCAGTATTATTTGCTCCTGAGCCCCGTTTCACTCCAGTGCACATCGGGGGCTGAGATCTAAATACTCATTTGATATAGCGTAGTAACCCCTTTCTCATATCTGATGGGAATGTTTTCCATATCCCAGTATTTGACAACATCTCCCTATAGGGACAGGTTTGTATTTATGTTGGTAAAATGTCCCCTGCCTCAAAGTCTATTGAAACCCAACACCTGACAACCCCTAGTCCCATTTCTGTTTGCAGAAAGGGTTTATTCAAGCACATAATGGGATCCCAGCAGAAAGCCTTTCAGAACAAGGGGCTATGGTAAACTTCACCACATGAACTCCGTTTCCAGGGCTATTAAGCTTTTAATTGGAAAATAGCAGAGGAAATTTCAAGGTGACTATAACGTGTTAGCAGTTAGTTCAGAGAAGAAAAGCCCATACGGGAATGAATGTTGAAAGCATATGGCCCGAATCACATTTAGGAGGAGAGGCCTGCTTCTTCTAAGTCCCTGCAGCTTATACACTTATGGGAAAAATCATCAAAGAAATTGGAAAGGGAGAGGGAGGATTACAAGAAAATGTAACCTAACTAGACTAGGGCGCACTCCTGCTCCCCTCGGGGTAGTGTGCATGTGTTTTCAAACCACAATTAGCTGGGTAAGATACGGCAGGTATTAATACTGAAAGGGGCGAAAAACGACGCACTGGTTCTTTCTTAAGCACACAGAATAGCACAAGGCGTGCTCCGAAGGCAGGTGCCCTGACTGAGAAAGTGAGGACATCAGAGTTCAAATCTCGGAGGCCTGAAAGCTGTTCCTCAGCTCCAAGAGACGTTTAATCAAAAGGACAGTTTCACATTGTGCCGGATGTACGACACGTCGAGACATTTTCTGCTCTACTGTATTCTCGCGCAGGGGGAAATCGGGACTCCTGTTTGCTGGCTATGTCGCGATCATGGTGACGTTGATGTAGGCAGAAGCTGGGGGCTGGGCTTGCAGAAACCCCTGTAAAGGCAGGAAAATAGCCGCTCCTCTGTCTGCGAAGGAACCTATCCGAGCCACTCTGCGCTCACCCAGTGTCTCTTTCTTTAGTAAGCTTCAAATTGAAAGATGGGGTGGCGGGGAGAACATCTAGTCAAGCGGTGGGACAACCAGCAATTGATTTTTTGAGGAAGCAGTAAAGTCCTTGTTCGCCCCCAACTGGTTGGGGAGCGCCTCCAGCTCAGCCCTCCTGGAATCTCTGAATCCTCTTCCAGGAGCCAGGTGGAGGACAACTGAACCGCACCCCGCAGGGCTGGGGGTACTAGAGCAAGAGGAAGGACATTCACCTCCCCGTACTATTTTGGGAGGGAGGGAGACAGACTGAAGAAGGGGGCTCCAGATGCCCTGAACCCCTTTGGTCCTAAGTAAGTGCTGCTGGCTGTTCCTTCAGGTTCTAGAACTCTCCAGGCCAGCCGCGGCTCTGGCCTGGAGACAGATTCCCCATACCCGGCCTGAACTGGAGATTGCCAGGCTGCAATTGCCAGGTTGCTCCCCCATCACCTCATCCTGAGGTTTCCAAGGGGCTGCAGAAGGGCGCCCACTCCCTGCGCTGACCCCAGGCCGGCGAGCATCTCGGGCGCACGCTGAGTCCCCAAGCCCCTGCGAGGGGCATGTCAGGTCTCAGGGCCGGTCTACTTTATGTAAAAGTGTCTCTTGCTAGGTAAAATGGCGCTATACCAGCTCGAATATACCACCTTTCTTTCGTGACTTCAAAAACTGAAAGGCCGAGAAAACTGTCAGGTAATTTGAGTAACATTCAAGGGGCAAAGGGCAAACCTCTCTTCTCTAGTTCGTTCGCTCAGAGTGCTGGGTGCACTCTCAAAGGTAGCTACTTCTCTCCAGAAAATTCTCCCCCAGCAACTCCTTCCCTGCTTTCTTCCAGAGAAAAAAGCCAAGGGATCACGAGCTGGGGTGCAGGGAGAAACACCCCAGCCGGGGCCACCAATCAGGAGACAGGTTGGCAGCCTAGAAGAGTAGATGTCCTGCGGGCATTCGCAAGCTCCCTAGCCCCCTGGGCAGGCTACTTCCGGGAGGCTCACCCCCCCATCCACCACCATTCGCCCCCGCCCCGGCCGTTTTCGCCCCGCCTGCCGGGACTTCTTTGAGGCCCGGAAAAGTTTGGCCTTTTGGGGGAAAAGGAAAATTCTCACTAGAGGTTGAGTAAAGCCACAATCCAGGGAGAAGAGGGCGCGTTTCAAAGGCTCAATCTGCAGGTCGTGGGCCTCGTCCGCGTGGGCGTGGAGGACAAAAGGACAGCAAACATTTCCTGGCCACATTTCCCAGGCCCAGGCCCTCTGGTTGGCCAATGGCGCCAACCTGGGCATCCCCGACGGTCTCTCATGGCCTTGACTGGCTGACCTGTGGCCTCTCTGTAACGTGTGCCAAGTTCCCAAAACAGGGCTGCTGGAGCCGGTGGTCATGCGATGGCACGTGTGCGTGGGAAAGTGACCCGGCCGCCAGGGAGGCAGAGTGGCGCTGCGCTGCGTGGGAGCGAGTCCTGTGTTTCCCCAGGGAAACCGCGGCGTGGGAGACCCAGGCTGTGCGGCCCTCTGGTCCACTCCCCAGCACAGATTGCATTCTAAGTGCGTGGACAGCAGGCGGGGGCGGCTGCCCGTGTGACCTGTTGGCAGTCAGGTGGCCAGTCTCAGCCAGGGCCTTGCGCCCTAGTAGCCTGAGAATCCCCGGCCCTGGACTGGAGCCCAGTGGTCCCTGCGCGGTGGGCCGCAGGCCGAGCGTCTCGTTATTCACCGGGACGGTACCCAGGGACCCTAGTCACGGTGGAAGCACACCTGGCCTTGGAGAGCCAACTCTCCCTTTGCCCTCTGTCCTGAGGCAAGGGTACCCGAGACATGAAAGCCAGGCATGCCATCCTCAGTTTCCTTGTGTCACTGAGGGGGCGGGGGGTCGCAAAAACTCTGTACCGGCAGCGGGAACAACACTCGCACGCCCACGTGCCCTCGCCTCCCGTGCGCGCTACGGATCTGCTCCAAGTGGCCTCTGTCGGGGTCTCTGGGTAAGGGCAGACCATGGAGAAACTGGTCTTGAATATGTTCATTAAAATCCGGCGGTCTAGATTTAGTCAGCTCTCCATTTCTAGTCCGGGACTGGGTAAGTTCCTCCCGCAGATCCTTGGGTCCGTCTGGCCCCCTCCCCTACCCACCCCTACCCTCTCCACACACACCCCCATTGCAGTTAAGAATAAAAGCGAAAGTCTCCCCCTGTCGCTCCACGCCTGGCAAGAGATGGAGGCCCCAGTCTCTTTCTCTTGCGGATGTTCCGCAAAGAGCCCAGAGCCCAGCCCGCCCGCCGCAGTCTTGGGCCTGATCTGGTTGGGAGTAGCCCCTTCTGCAGACAGTCCCCAGTGTCCCCGCGCGTCCTCCCGGATGCCGCAGGCACCGGGACTCCAGCAAGCATGTGGACCCGGAGGCACTTTCCCAAGAGACCTGCCATGACCGCCCCGCGAGCCGGCTTCGGGGTGCTTCCCGAGCTTAGGGGGGTACCGGTGAGAACCAAGCCCCTCTGGGCTCTGCAGCTGGGGGACCACGTAAGACTTCGCACACACTGGAAGGGAGGGGACCCAAGCCGAGGGCCCTGGCCGCGGAGAAGCCACCGCCAACCACTGGAAGGTGGCAGCTCCGCAGCCCGCTCCCCTTCCACGCGCGCCCTGCAGCCTCCGGTGCGGTCGTCACAGTAGCTACAGCCGAAGGGCACAGGCTGCAGTAGCAGCGGTCTGACAAGTGTGATAAAATGATCTTCCTTAACTAAACTCGTAAAGCACTGGGCAATAAAACTCAATCTTCTGTAAAATCCAATTAAGTCATTATCTGACTGATTGTATCTTTAATTGAAAACAGAAGTGACAGTAAATTTCTGTGATATATCAGGATCAATCGATACCGCTATACGATTCAGCCCCAAGAAGTGATTTATAATGTCAAACCTATATAGGTAACTCCACATTATTCTCTCTAAAACCACTGGTGGATGAAATTAAGAGTAAGTGCATTTAATAAAAAACAAGATGGTCAGGTTATTGATTACAACAGATGGGGGTGAAACCAAATAGATGTTTTCAAAGCACAGAGCGGAAAAAAATACAAGTAATTTCTTTTTTCCTGTTTAATACCGTTCACCAAATATACACAGAAGAAAATTCAGTTATCAATAACATTTTTATTTCAGGTACAGCCACAACTATACACAACAATGAATTTTTTTACACTAGTTTCATTTCAGGATGGCTTCTGTTACATGAGTAAGTACTCCCATAAGCAATTTTTAACAAAATAATGAACTCAAAATCTGTGGTAACTTTTAAAGATGTACTTATTTCCAACTCAGATTACAACCTAAGGTTACAAAATACTCTAGATTGCTTCCATTTCTCTTCCCTGTAGTAGAAAGAATGTTCGTTAAACTCATTCTAGAAACAACACCCAAGAGCTCTGCCTCACCATGGTAAATTGTATTGTTTTTAAATTACCCTTTACAGAAAAAGTAGCGATTCTGAAGGACCTTAATTTCTCTCACTGTATCTCAGTTACATTTGGATGGGGGGGTGCCACTGTTTCCGACAGCAACACAGAAACACAGTATTTCCATTTATCTTCTACAAATTTTCTAAAATAATTTTTCCCCTGCTTTTTCCTGGTCAAGTAATTGGCTAAATTTATATATTTTGTGGTTTTATTAAAATACTGACTTTTTAAAAATCTAAAGGTACCCAAGATTTCATTTTAATTCTAAAAGTAACATGTAATTATGACTAATTTAGGGGTACAGTAAATTACTGTTTCTCTTGAAAACTCCACTTTAACCATCCAGAGGAGAGAAGGGGGTAGGGGAGAAAGACTCATTTCTATTTGAACTCGGGTGCGCAAGGTACTTAATTCTTGCTGATGGTAGTCCGGAACCTTGCACTGTTTCCTGTTTTAGCCTCTGGACTAAACTCCAAGGAGTATGAACCAAACATTCTCTCTACAGCCTAGAGTTGGCACAGTCAATGCAAATAACAACAAACCCTGCGGATAGTGATGGAATAAGCCTGCTATTCCCAGTAAATGCTCCAGCGCCCGCGCTGCTCACTCATCATCATCATCATCCTCCAGGACCCCGGTAACAGTGTAGCTGCTGGGCTCAGAGGACGCAGACTCGCATTCCAGGACCCCCTTTGTGCTCTCGTTACTCAGAGGAGAGCTGCTGGAGAGGGAAACCAAGCCAGAATCTTGACTGCTGTGTGGTGAGAATACTGGGAAGTGGGAGAGAGGGAGAAAGCATTAAAAATGGCTAGTCTTTCCACAGAATTTAATTAGGTTCTAACAAAGAAAGAGGCACTTTCCCATTTCTATTGCAAACCTTTTTATAGATACTCAGTAAAAAAAAACCCTGCACTTCCTTCTTCCTTAGAATAAAAACAAATGGTATTTACAGCACATCCACTTAACAGAAAGGGAAAGTTACTGAGAGCAGAATCTCAGTTTTATCTTCATTAAGAAGCAAAACCCAAACAGCCTGCTCCACCCTCTTTTGGAGACTGTTTCCACAACCCCACTGAGCCCCTCCCATTTATGTAAAGGATGCTAATGAAACTTGTCTGGTCGAGTGATCCTAAAGCAGAGTGATCCCCAAGCAACACCCCACCCTTCCAATTCACCCCTGGGGAGGCAAGATCCTTCAGGGGAAGTTGATAATATTTCTTTTGACTACTACCAGGCAACAAAGGGGGTAGGGGAGGCTGTCAGCACACATAACTGTAAAAGGGTACAAAGCAATAAGCAAGGTGGTTTTTTTTTAGTGGAAAATGAAAAAATTAGATTACATTAAAACAGATTTTGGAAGCCACTAGGAAACCATCTCTATATATGAAGGATACAAAAATAATAATGGGCCCAACACATTTTTTGCAACGTTAGAAGCCATAGTAGATACAAAACTTAAGCAAAAGGGTCTCTGACCTTCTTAACCTTAGCAGAGTTTAGAACCACCCCCAGAACTCCCTTTATGCCTAGTGTGAATGTAATTAAGGGGAAGCTGCAGTGGTAATTTCTCTCCTCATTAACTTCCTGATTGGTTTCGGCCTCAGGATTCTGCCGGGCAGTAGTTTGTCACCAATTCCAAATGGCCAATCGTTAATACTAATGTTTGTGTAACTAACTGCCAGCATCTGCCACGGCTTCTTGTACAACAATAATGGTGAAAGGGTACATTAGTGCTCCTGTGTTAATTCAGCTTGTGTTCATCAATAGGGAAATCTATGATGTAATTAGCAAAATGCATTGGGAGCTGAGTGCTGAAGTCATTTGTAGAGGACTAAATCATAGTAGAAGCTGCACTGGGTCCTGATGTGTTTGCCATCAATACTTATTATGTTTGAATTTAATAAGGTATAGTACCATGCTGAAAAGAGACCTTTTTACAGGAGAACACTATTTACACTTGTTATGGGTTTGGAAAAGGTTTGGTGCAGCTAGTGGAACCACACAGAAATAAAGAACAGAGCTGCGATTAAGCAGTGGACCTGTAACTGGCCAAATTATTCCCCAAAGCTCCAACAGCACATCTACACAGTCAGATGAACAGCTTTCTATAGCTACCTCAGTATTCAACAAGAAAAGGGATACTCTGAAAACTCAGTAAGTGAATAAATTTGAAGAACAATTTAGGCGATTTACTGACAACCAATTATTTGTTATGTCTTCCTTAAATAAAAAGGAAGGGATGAGCTTATAAGCTTAAAAAAAAAAAGAAATCATTTGAAAAAAAAAAAAAAAGAGTAACATTTTATAGATGTCCCCAAAGCAGTCAAGTACATTATAGCAAAAACAAAGCAAAACAAACACACAAAAGCAACTGGCAGCCTGGAGATCCTTTCTATTATTACAGTATATAATGTCTTCTTACTAAATTTGGATTGTTATATGGATTTCAGTAAGTCCAAAGTGATTAATGACCTGTACACATGCCCCTCATTAAATACAGATAGAGAAATGCTGTCCAAACATTGTAGACTTTTGCTCAGAGATCTTAGTATGCGGATCTGGAGAGCCAATTGGAGCATCTATGAGTTAATCTGCACACCCTTACCTCAACTCCAAAGTAGTGAGAGATGTGAGAATATTTACTGACTACTCTCTGTATGTCACATACTTTAGTGATGTGTTATTTCACCTTCAAACCATTCCCTAAGAGACTTTCTCTCCCCATTTTATATAGAGAACCCCGAGACTCTGCATGCTTTTGCCCCTTACTCTTGGTAACCACACTTAGAAACCTTGCTACTGAACCCTCCTAGTTCCTGTGTGAGATTAAGGGACCGGAAATAACTGACCTCCTCAGGCTGATGCAGACACTCATGGAGTAAGCAAGCCCTTCCAGTGTGGCTGCCATAGGCCTTCACTGAGAAGCTGAAAGAGGCGAGGCCTTTCTCCTGATTCAGCCAATGTAGGATGAGAAAGGGAAGTGAGAATTTTGCAGAAAAATTTGGGACTAGCCCCTTTTGCTCTCAGTTGCCCCTATTTCTTTGGAAAATGCCTGTGTGATTTGGGGATGCAAATGTGTTACCAAACACTGTGAACACTTGACTGTGCTCTCAAGAAGAGGTTAAATAAATGAACTCAACTATTTGGAAAGGCACCTGCATTTTAAAAACAGGGTTTCTTCACTCAAAACTTAAACCCATGCTATCTTTTACATTTGTTCAAACCTTAGTGTTGTCTTTAAATCAGAAGCTGAAGATACAGTATCTTTTTAATCCATTCTGTATAGTGCCTCATAAAAGTTCCAAGTGCCTACAAAGATTCAAATGTTGCTTTTTAGTGACTTAATGTTGAAAATCTACTTTATTACTGTTCTTAAATATATACTGTCCTTTGAGATACTCCAGCCATTGATCTTTTCCAGGGACTTGAGTAGCAACTACATTGTAAATTATTTAATACCAAGTAAACATTCAAAAACTCAAAGTGATCCCTTTTTGGCTTTTTAAGTTGACTCTTGTGAGCTCAAAAAACATTGTTTGGCAAGCATGCTGCCCCTCCTAGTGTGGGGACCAGACAAACTGCCAGCAGGAGAAATTGGTTCAGTCTTTCTGGACAGCAGTCTAGTGACATGTGATAAGAACCGTAAAACTGTTCATCCCCTCTGACCTGGTAATTCCACTCTGGGGAATAACACCAAAGAAAGAAAGAATAATTGGCCCAGAGATGCTCAACACTGGGCTACTTGCATCAGTGGAGATGTTAGCGCTTTGCTCTTGTGCTTGGGGGGAGGAGGCAGCTGCATGGGAGGGGGCAGGAAGCATTCACAGCAAAGGCCAATTAAGGGTTATAGTTCCCTGTGATCACTGCTGCCCTCTCAGCACTGGCAACCCCAGAAACAGAAGAAATGAATGAGAGCAGACTGGAGAGGTTAGAGGAAAACCTGCCATCTCATCTGCCCTTCTGTTCCAGCAAGGGATCCTAAGACAAGGAGACTGGCCCTGTGGGAACCAGCAGGTCCAGGCCCTGCTTCCTTTCAAGCCACCGATTTAGCTATAGCACCTAAGGGGCCTTTCTCTCATTATTATTTAAAAACAAATGAAACCCTGACATAGCACCCTTACCAGCCTTGAAGGTAGGGGGATAGTGCCATCTAAATCAAGGATTCATTTTAAGAAATATTTCGTAATGCCAAAAACTAGATAAGAATAAGAAAAATCCCTCAAAAATAATAAAGCAAAACCCACTCATAACTGCGTCATCTTTCGACACTGCAAAAAAAAAAAAAAATCCTGACTTTTAACTCGAATGATGCATTGGAATGAGGGTGATGGACTGGAACAAATAATTCTCTTTCAGTGATGTGAGAAAACACACAATGTTCATGCTTGAAGAAAAAAATGTTCTTCCCCTACAGGTTAAATACTATTAAACTCCTACTAAGAAATCCTGTAAAAATAAAATGCAAGTGGCATTCCCAGCTGACTAGTGGCTTTTTACCTGGGAGACTCTGCCAAGGGGACCAAAGTACTGGCCCCTTTGCTTCCTGGTTTGCAGGCTTAAACAAATCTGATGAAAAGCTGTGAAAATGTCTTAAACAACGAATTCTTCTGCTTGATGATAACCATAGTGTTTGGAAATAAAATCATGTCCAATCAATACCACTTAGCAGATATTTAATGTTTCACAATAGAATGTTCTTCCAGAGTGGAACTACTGCCCTTCTCACTAACATTGAAAATAATTAGGATTATCTCAGCTGCCGGAGCTTGGCAGGATCAGTTTGTACTTTCAAACAGCATTAATTCTTGGCACTCAGAACAAGGGATGAAAGGTAAAGATATGAATGGAGAGCTTTATTCCACCTGATCTATCAGGATTAGCTCATTCTTTTCCAGTTCATGCCTGCACTCTAGTTAAGAGGAAGGCTGAGCAGCTGTAACTGATGTAATTAGAAACCACAAGCTGAGAAAAAAATAGCCCATTATTAATCCCCCCATTTACTAGAAATTTACTTAAAAAAAAGTAATAATCTTTGAAACAATTAAGTGTGTTTTCCCCCTAAGTGGAGTTAAAGCATAGCTACAGGAGCTCAAAGAACTGTATTGGATGATGCTTTCCTTAAAACGGAGTCTTACTTGTCAGTTCTAAAACCCAGGGCCAGCTTTGTAAAGGGCCAGCTATGTGCTTGGCATGTTGGTGTGAAGCAACCAAGCCACGATGAATGAGAATTCTTGAAGATGCAATCAAGAACTTACTCCTCCTTCTCCCCACCCCCCCCACCCCATTCTCCCAACCTTTGCAAGGACTGGAAATACAGTAGGCTAAAACAAGGGGAACTGACAACAGGAAGTAAATGTCTACCCAACAATGATGGGATTTCTTGCCCTCTAAATTTCATGTTACTTGAATACAACACACACACAGTTCACACAATAGAAAGTTTCAGTTCTCCAAAAGAGCCACAGGTCTGTCAAGCACACCTTCTTCCACATGTCAGGAGAGCACTGTCCTCAAAGTCTGCAAACCTGTGCTCTCAACCTGGCCTGCTAGGCTACAGACTGGTTCCCTTGCTGCTGGAGAAGTTCAGGCTAACTCTTGCTATGAGATTAATGTTAATTACCAACTTAGGAGAATCAAAAAATCACCTGGGAGACAGGCCTCCCTCCAGGCACACCTTTGAGGAACTATTTGGGTTGGGTTAGTGTGGGGGAGGGGGGCTTGCCTGTGAGGGATTATCTCAATTGTACTCAGAGGTGGGAAAACCTGCCCA